CTCTGTGCTCAGCCTTCGCTGGGGACAAGTTGTTCCCAGCTTACAAAGGGGGTGGTAGTGGTACAGCAGGAATCCCTACAGAGAAATTACCCCTTGCTGTCATCATCAGTCCAGCCTCCCTCTCTTACTGTGCTCTGCCAAGCTTCTTGAACTCACCTAATAATCAGACCCTCAACAGAACAGGCCCTGAGTATCAGGGGAGGGGTGAAGAGGCAGCTGCCACAAGTCTCTAAACTGCCTGCCACTTGGCTTCTTTAATGAAATCCAAATCTGCCCTTGTGGCCCCAGGAAAAAAGAGGCTAATTTGGGCTCAGGCTTCTACAGCCAATTGAAATTCTAGATAAAAGGCTTTAAAGAGAAGAGTCCCTTCCCCTAGCCTGGGCCCCACCCTGAGTCTACACATTCTAGATCATTTCTCAGTGTCAACCCCCTGCCTCATTCCTTCCCATGCACCCTAATACCCTCATCACCACCAGTACCATCCCCCCATTAAGGCTGCGTCCAGGAACCTGAGCCCCTTAGACAGGACCTGACTCCAGAGGGAGCAGCTGAGGTTACCACCCACAATGTGCCAGCTCATTCATGCATTTTGGTTGCTCTGACATTAAGTGTGACGTGGAGGGCTTGGTGTTATATAACTCCAGGGAACTCCAGTCCCATTGTAGTCTATGTCTATCCAATGGGCAAATGGCAGCCCCTGGAGTTGTGCAACACTGTGAGCCCTGAGTTTGGGAACAAAGCATTTGAAAAGTTTTTCTAGAGAAATAGCTCATCTCCAGAGCTTTCCTGAGTTTTGAGGCCCTCTTGATTTCCCATTTTGTCAGAAGTCAGGGAAAGAAGAAACTGTGCTAGAAGCAGAGTAAGAATGGGACTATATCCCCACCTTATTTAGGACAGGTCATTTACTAGCCCCCCATGTGGTCAAATCCTGTCTGATTGCCTCTTGCCCTGTGTGTGTTTGGAGATAAGCAAAAATTAGGGAGCCAGGTATGACTTGTAAAAATCTGGGAGCCAGGCCAGCCACTCAAGACTTTATGAACCATCTTTGGGTTATGGGGACATGGACGAGATTACAGGACTGGAAGTCACATCCACCAAGTCTTCTAGTCTTAGCTTTTCCACCTATTGGATAACTCAGCCTCTTTGAACCTCAAGATGAGCTTTCTTAATAAACATATAATTATAGAGTAAAATTAATCTTGCCAGAGACTTTTCTTAATCTATTAGACCAGCCCTCTCTGTGGGAGTTAAAGATTTCTTCTTTCTCTAGGCCCAGAAGCTGGGAGCTAGAGGGCAAGGGGAGGAGACTGGGGTGGGGCCAGGACCAGCCACACTGCCCCTAACTTCTCCTCCCTCCAGGCCTGAAGACCGGCGGTGGCTCGTCAGGCGGCTCCAGTGGCTCCTTTCACTACACCTTTCATGGGGACCCCCATGCCACCTTTGCCTCCTTCTTTGGTGGCTCCAATCCCTTCGATATCTTCTTTGCCAGCAGTCGCTCCACTCGACCCTTCAGTGGTTTTGACCCAGATGACATGGATGTGGATGATGATGAGGACCCATTTGGTGCCTTCGGCCGCTTCGGCTTCAATGGGCTGAGCAGGGGTCCAAGGCGAACCCCAGAACCACTGTACCCTCGGCGCAAGGTGCAGGACCCACCTGTGGTACATGAACTGCGGGTGTCCCTGGAGGAGATCTATCATGGCTCCACCAAGCGCATGAAGATTACACGACGGCGCCTCAACCCTGACGGGCGAACTGTGCGCACTGAGGACAAGATCCTGCACATTGTCATCAAACGCGGCTGGAAGGAAGGCACCAAGATCACCTTCCCCAAGGAGGGCGATGCCACACCTGACAACATCCCTGCTGACATAGTCTTTGTGCTCAAAGACAAGCCCCATGCACACTTCCGCAGAGATGGTACCAACGTGCTCTACAGTGCCCTGATTAGCCTCAAGGAGGTGCGCCCTGGGGCAGGTTGCATGTGTGATAAGGGGTCGGGGGTGATAGGAACATCCTTTCCCCACTTCAGTCTTTTTGCTCTCTTCCAATCACTCTCCCCTACCGTTTTCTCACTCTCTGCCTCATTTTCCTCAGGCGCTCTGTGGCTGCACTGTGAACATTCCCACCATTGATGGCCGAGTGATCCCTTTGCCCTGCAATGATGTCATCAAGCCAGGCACCGTGAAGAGACTCCGTGGGGAGGGTCTCCCCTTCCCCAAGGTGCCCACCCAGCGGGGAGACCTCATTGTCGAGTTCAAAGTTCGCTTCCCAGACAGATTAACACCACAGACACGACAGATCCTTAAGCAGCACCTACCCTGTTCCTAGGCTCTGCCCCAGCCAACCCAGAGTCTACCACAGCAATACCCCACACTCACCCCACCCACTGTACACCCAGCTTGATGTCCACTGGACACTGGCAACTTTTTCTAAAATGCAAAAAAAGCCACTGGTTTTCAGGAAAATGTTTCTCTTCCTGACCCCTTTCAAAGCTGGGCTGCCTTGGGGGAGTGGGAGGGAGGTGGGGAGAACGAGCCTAGGCCAGGGGTCGATTTTCACGTCACTAGCTTTGAATCCAGTTCCCACTCCAGTGGCTGGGGAGTGACCTGAGTGCTACTTGAAGATATAGAGATTCCTTGTCCATGCCTGTATATAGCATGTCCTCCTTCCCCTCTCAGCTTTGCTAATACTTCTCCTGTCCCTCCCCGTCGGCTTCCTCCTGTTGGGGGAGGAAGAGGATAGAAAGGACACTGCTCTCCCACCCCAGCTTCACCCCCAGGTCGACAGTGTCCAAGGTTATCACACACATACTCACACACACAAAGCACTCACCTAGAGCTGTCTGTGCCTCTCCAGGGTTGAGATAGAAAGGGACGGTCCATAACCCATGAACCAGGCCATTGAGCACGAGACACTTTTTATTTGGGGCAGGGAGGTGACTAGGGCCCTCAGCAGCCTCCCTGACAGCGCCCCTGCCGACCCCACAGAGCTGGAAGTTCTGTCCTCCCTGTTGCTCTCAGGAGTGTGCAAGGATGGAGGGAGGGGAAGGGGGCCTACTGTATTAAAGCTAAGAGGTCGGGGGTGGGGTCCAACTCCCAGCCTTCATCAGGAAGGGTAAGGGCTTTGGGGTCAGGTAGCAATTATTCCTCAGCAAGAGATTCAGGGTCACAGGCTTCTCCACACACCTCTGAACTCAGGGCCTAGCCACCCCCAAACTTCCAAATCCCATTTTTGTGATACGTGAAGCTACTTATTTCTTACCCTTCATGGAGGCTACGTGGGGCATTTCCAGCCTTTTGATGCCTGTGTGACCCCACCCCACTCCCCCAGTTATATAAAGGTCGAACAGTGAAGGAGCTAGGGGAAGACGGATCCAGCAAGGTCTTAGGGTGGGGTCTTTAGGTTTTCTCACTTTGACAAGCCCCTGAATGTTTTTATAGTAGTTTTTTTTGTATTTTTTTGTAATGACAGTATTATGAAAAAAATAAAATATTTTAAAAATATGGCAGCTCAGCAGACGTAATGAACCTGGGATTGAGGGTGGATGTGCAGTGCCGCTGTCAACTTTCTTCCAGGGCCCTGGTCACTTTTGAGAAGCCCAAGCAGGCCTTCAATATAAGGTAAAGCTGATTCCTTTCTTCCTCTAAACCCAGACTCCTGGGACTTCCAAAATGTATATCACAAAACAGCAAAGACAGGAGATACCACTCACCTATTAGAAGAAATAAATCTATTTGGAAAGAATAAATATCCTCAGTTATGAAAAACAGAGACTATCCTCTTTGAAGGATGTGTTAGTATGAGAACTAATAGATTTTCTCTACATGGACTGGAATTTTCCCTTGAGAAAAATTTCCCTCCTAGGAGGGAATGGAGGACTTTCTGGTTGACTAGAAGAGACAAATCCCCAAAGACAGCCTGGGGCCATGAAGAGGGCAGCTGGAGGTACCTGGCATCTTTGGTCCATGCTCATGGGACCTGGCTGGGGACGCAGGCTCACTAGGAGGCATGAACACCGTGGCTGATCCTTAAATCTCACAATTTTCTAGGGAAGTCTGTCCTGGTCTCTGAGCTGCCTGTCCCTGCTGAGACAACTCTGGTCCTCAGGGCCTATGTGCTCTGCCGACTGCATGATGCACTTGGCACTTTCCTTGGATCTTGGTAGGGAGGAGCCCTGTAGTTGCCTGAATGCCAATATGTGGGCTCTGCCTAGGCCTGGACTTCCTCCTGGTGCTGATTTCCCTCCCTGAGCCCCGATTCTCCAGGATCAGGTCCATGATGTCCATGGCCTCCTGAGCTTCAGTGTCCCCAGTGCCATGAAGAGAGCTCTGCCTTCACCTGGTCCTGGGCTCCACACACAGGTTGACACTGACTAGGCTTTTAGTAGGGATCTTGCCCTTGCCTTTTATCCTGGGACAATGCCAGTGGAAAAAGCATTGTCAGCATTGTCAAGCATGCTCCTCATCCTCTTACCCAAGGTACTTTTGGAAGAAGCCTGTCCCTTCCAGTGCAGAAACCAAAGGTTCTTGCTCACAAGGGTTTCTGCTAGTCCCCTGGCCCGGGCAGGGAGAGCCCCAATCCTGCATCCCCTCCTTAGGGTCACCTAGGGTTGTCCCTCTCTTCACTTGGGGCTAAATTCTTGTCCTGGCTCTTCCCTGAGGCCTGAAGCTTTGGGATCCAGGTCTGCTGGGATCCAGGTCCTCTGGCTTCCATGTGGACACACAGGACCTAAGAAAGTGTCATGTCCCCACTGAGCACTCTCTGGGGATGCAACTATGAGACCTTAGAAGCCAAACTATCTGAGGCCAGGAGCACTTCAACGAGAAAGCCCTGAAGCTGGCTCTGCAATTTCAGCCTTATCCTTCTTGGAGGTTGCATGGGGGATTTGTTGTCCTTCGATGCCTATGTAACCCTACACACACACACACACACACACACACACACACACATTGCTGTATCAAAGTCAAGATAGTAAAGAAGCTGAGGGAGAGACTGGATCAGCCAGTTCCTGGGAAGTCGGGTCTTTATTGGGTTTTCTCACTTTGACAAGCCCCTGAATCCTTTTATAGTAGTGTGTGTGTGTGTGTGAGTGTGTGAGTGTGTGTGTGTGTGTGTGTGTGTGTGTGTGTGTGTGTGTAATTTTGTAATGACAGTACTATACCAATTATTTGCTCATTTGTATGGCTGTATTATGTTCTTTAAGGCTTGGCCATCCTGAATCTTCAGCAACCAGCACTCTCAGGGTGGGGACATTCCTTGGTCACTGGAGCCCCTTGACCACTCAGATACTCAGATAACCATTTAGCTTCCAGGCATCTCCCAGCTCGCTGGCTCTCAGAACATCTTCTGATTGTGGCTTAGGTGCTAGAGTCTTCTTAGACTTCACTATCTCCCTGAACTCTCCGGCCCTTGAAGGAACCCCTAAATTAATCTCAAACTTCCTTTTCCTAAAGTGGAAACTCCAAGAAGATGCTCCCCTCTGTGGTAATCCCCTCCAGACACTCTTCTCTCAGTTCTCTGCCTGGGGCACTTCTCCGTGGCTGAAGTCTGTTGGGCCACAACTCCACTCTTATCCCTTGGGTCATGTCCTGCCACTGATTGACTTGGAATGACTCTGGACTGCCTCTCTTGTTTCCCATACAGTCCTACTCTGCCATGATTTACCCATGCTGATGGGTGTGAGGAGCTAAAAACTTTGTCTACGCTTCTCCTTGGACTGAGGGTCCTGTGTGAACCATGATCAACATCTCAGGGCCCTCTGGCCTTCCTTGTCACAGGTGAGGGGGCAGGGTGGGAACTATCAAGGGTGGGAATTGAATTTTTTGTGATCAGCTTGTCTCCTGATCTGCCTAAAGGTTTCTTTCAAAGAGCTAAGCAACCCCAGCTTAGCCATCCCTGAAACGCAGGTGGCTGAGAGAGAAAGGTGGACTGGGGAAGGGGCCATGATTAGGTCTCTTATCAACTTAACAGTTTTATGTATTCAAGAATTTTGAGAGGTAAGATCTACCTCTACCACACCCAAAGCCATATAATCTGAGCTTCCTAGTGCTTGTCAAATGCCTAGATCAAGAAAGAAAATCTTCTAAAAGGTATTCAGGCAGTGTTCCTGATTCATTGAGGATACCAAATTTCCAGTTTCCAAGTGGCCATTGGCTTACCCTCCCATGTCAACCTTGGCTTCACTGGGGTCCTGGAATCACATAGAGCAGGAAGAGGGGTACTGGAAAGAAAAAAAAAAAAGAGGCTCATCAATACCTGCTTTTCCAAAGGGCAAACAGGTTCCGTGTCACATGAGCTCCTTCCTTTCTGGTAATTTCTCCAAGCTGGGAAAACACGAGACTCGGTCATAAGTGGCGAAGGTAGGAACAAAGGGATCTAATAGGAAGCTGAGTAAAATGGTCCTTTGAGGGAGGTTCTTGGGAGACTGGACCCTGAGAATCCCAAGCATTAGTACACAAGATCAAATAGTCAGTGAAAACAACTGATGAGCTCAACTATGGAATAGCGTTTATAGTTTATCCCATCTGATCTTCATAACCATGCTGTGAGGAGTGCAAGCCAAGTGTATGAAATGTGATTAAAAAAATAAGGTGAATGTTTAAATTAAAAACAATTTATTACAGTAAAAGATACATTGCCATTAATCCCCCTCAAAATACTCCCCCTCACTTCAAACACACTTATCCATCCCATTGTTATTGCCACTTTCTGAAGCAGTTCTGGAAGTTCTCTTTCTTGTCTTTACTTCATCCTCCATCATGACAACGTTCTATGTCACACATCGCTTCTGGTATGGCAATTTCTGTCAAATAGAAATAGTGGGTTGTCAGAAAAGTCATGATGCATTTTTGCAATAAAAATCATAGAAAAAATACGTCATGACTTTCCCAACAACCGAACTTTATGGTGTGCCCTCATCCACACTATTCACTGGATCTGGCACCGCGCAACTTCTGGCTCTTCCCCAAAGTCAAAATAGACAAGAAAGGATAACATTTTGAATCGATTCAGGACATCGAGGCGGCCACGACAGCACAACTAAAGACACTCATGAAAGAGGACTTCCAGAACTGCTTCAGAAAGTGGCAAGAACCAAGGGACACATATATTCGAAGTGAGGGGGAGTATTTTGAGGGGGATTAATGGCAAAGTGTCTTTTGGTAATTAATTTTTTTCAACATTCCCCATAGTTTTTTATCACACCTCATACCTAAAGGAATCTGAGCCTTAAAATTTTAAACAAATTGTTCCAAATCAGGACCCAAATCTCCACCTCTAGATATTCATTCCACTACATCTCATACTGTCACCTAGTGGGCAAGACCCACTGACCGGCTCCATCATTCTTTCATTCTCATGTGCGAGCCTATCAGGGAAGCCAAGAAGTGTTCCAGGTTCTGACTCCTTCCTATGAGTCTCTCTGCTGAAAGCTTTGGTTTCTGAGAGGGATGGGTTCTAGCAGCTGATGTCTTCAGAGACTGTGGACCTGGGTCTCATGGAAAGGAAAAATTAAGTTTAACCCTTGAGAGCTCCGGATTGAATAAGCAGGAGCTTACTTACAAATGTTCTGTCTTTGCTCCTCTTCTTCCCTCTGCATTGATGCTGAAAGAAAAGAAATGAATGAGGGGATTGGATTCAATTCTTATTCTCCCCTCTCTAGGCAAGTTGTAGACATTCATTATATATGAATAATATGATTTTCTACATTGAATAATGAATTTAATTTTTAAAGTGACTTAAGTATTTTCCATTTTTCTTCTTTGGAAATCTCAAACAAATGTTTTCCATATGTAATCCTCAATTGATTTTTAGTCAGTATTCCTTACTGAAAATTCAGGGCAAATAATCTCAGACCAACAGATACATGTATAGGATTTTGTCCCTTGGGTATAGAGCTTAGACTCTAGCATCTGGGCATTGCTCTCTAGATAAGCTCAATCACTTGACCCAGAGACACCTGAGAAGGTAAGGTGACTGATGAATGTGTGTTGAGGAACTTTGTTCTGCAAGTATCCTGAACTGTCTTCAAAATTTAATCCTGCATTGTCACATATGATAGCCACTAGCCACATGTAGCTATTGAGCACTTTGAAATATGGCTAGTGTGAATTGAGATGTGCTTGTAAGTGTAAAATACACACTGGAGTTTGAAGACAGCACCAAAAAAGGATGAAAGATGTTTCATTAATAATATTTAGGGCCGGCTGAGTGAAGTGTTGGTTAGGAGTTGGCTTGGGACACCAGCTCTGAGCA